ATTTTCCGCTGTACTCAAAGATTTACCGGCGGACGTCTCCAACGTAGGAGGCGGAGTTGTCGTTTCCGATACGATCTCGCGTTCTCTGGGTAACAATTGGACCAAATCGTCGCGAATCGGCGTGGAGCTCATCGTGGTCGTCGTCGCGGGAGCCAAACTCAGCCGTGCCGGACGCGATTCTCCTTTTTCCGCCGTCGCGGTTGTCCCGATTGGCGCGAATACGTCGTCGTTCTCCCAGTAATCGCGCTCCAGGTCGGCGCCAGCGTCGTCGTCGTCGTTGCCGTTCTCGCTGTCCTTCTTCGCTCTCTTCGTCGCTTTCATCTTTTTCGGGAACGCAAAGCTAGCGCCGTCGTCGTCGTCGATTTTGCCCGGTAGTTTACCTCTGCGTTCCACGTCATCGGCGAGCCGTTTCAGAGGTTTGACGATAGGCTCGTACCTCTTTTCCAGAGCGATCTCGCTTTCCATTTTTCCGGCCCTGAGAGCGGCGTACTTTCTGCGAATCGAGGCGCGCGTCTTGGCTATTTCTCGCGCGGTTCTCTCCTCGCGCTCATACTCGCGTCGTTCGACGAGGCGCACTGATCGACCCTACAGCACGGCGAAATCGTGGAAGCCCCGTCTGTACCGTCCGCCTCGCAACGCGCTGTCCTTGTCTATCACGGCGAAACCGTAGGCGCGCCGCCAACACTCGCGACAGAAGGCGCGAAATTCGTCGTACGACATGTCGATGTTCACGTGATCGTCGTACACGTGTCGCAGATTGGTGCCGTCCTGCCTGAACAGGATCAGCAGATTTGCGTTGTCGCGCACGAGATGTTTCGGTATCTTGGCGTACGTCTGACAGAGATAGAAGCAATCGATATTCGAATGTCGACCCATAGAAAAGTACTCCCTCATTCTGTCTTGCTTGTCGCAGGCCACGTCGTCGAAGATGAAAACCGAGTCGGGAAGCGCCTCGTCGGGCGGAACGACGTCGCGATTGTCGGAAAACGCGTGATAGCCGATCTCGTCTATGGGCTCGAACAATCGTTCGAGATATCGATACTTCGGTTGTTGCAGAGATTTCGAGTACACGTATACGTTCTCGAAACGGAGACCGTGCGGTTGTTCCAGCAGGCTCAGCAGAACGTTCGTCTTACCGCAATTGGAGGGACCGCAAATGATGCAACGGACGACGTTCGGAAGGAGAGGACCGTGCCGGCGCGATTCTCCGTTTCCTCTTTCGGTCGCGGCCGACCCCGCCGACGTTTTGCGATCCAGATTCGAGACTCCTAACGTCGCCGTCTGTCGCACGAATCGCATGTTTGCCTTCTCTTTCTCTCTTTCTCCCTCGAGTTTTTTCGCTCGGTTCGTTCGCGATGAGTCTCTCGATCGCTGGAAAAAAAGAGGGGGAAGCGCGAACGTCGTTTCGTTTCGTCGCGCGTGCGCAAACGCCTCGCGCGCGGGTATAAGTAGCGCGAGCGTGTTGCCGTATTCGTAGAAAAAAAAAATTTATTTCCTAAAATCAACGAATCGTTCGCGCACATCGGTGAGATGTCTCACAGTGGTGTGTTTCCCATACTGGTGGACGGTTACGAAATTCTCAATCTAACGGTGGAAGAGTTGCAATACATTCCGAAGATCCTTCTGTTGCGTCAATTTGGGAGATACGTGCACCTGTTGTGGGACCGTTTGCCGGAACATATACAAGCGGATCCCGAGGTGCAGAGATATCGCCCGTGCATGCGACACTACAATCGTCCGTGGCAGCGAACGCACATAGACGGTCCGCCGCCGCTCATCAAGGATTGCCACGAGTGCAATCGCTTTCGCCCTGTGAACGGTGTATCTTCGATTTCCCGTTCGAATTAAGAAGAAACGAATGCTCCTCGCGCAACCGCGACCGAATGCGCGGCACCGGTCTGCTCAATCGCGCGATAAACGCTCTTCCCTTCGAACTGCACATACCCGGTTATCAGTTCTGCGGGCCCGGTACGCGTCTAGCGAAGAGACTAGCGCGCGGCGAAGAAGGCATCAATCCGTTGGATGCGGCGTGTCGGGAGCACGACATCGCGTATTCGCGAAGCGGCGAGCTCGCCGAGCGACACATTGCCGATCGACGGCTCGCCGAGAGGGCGCGCGAGCGCGTCACCGCGAAGGATTCCACGGCCGGTGAGAGACTCGCCGCGGCCGTATGGGCGGCTATGAAAACGAAGACGAAGCTGGGCATGGGTATGGAACGCAAAAGGAAAACGAGAAAAGGAACGGGATTGAGGAGAAGCGCGAAAACGAGAAGGAAGAAGCGGAGGATACTTCCGACGGCGAAACGCGGCGGCTTCTTGCCCTTTCTACCGATGTTGGGCGCTCTCGGTTCCTTGATCGGTGGCGCGGCCACCGTGGCCAAAGCGGTGAGCGCCAACAAAACGGCGCAAAAACAGCTCGACGAATTGCAGCGACACAATCGCGCGATGGAGGGTCGCGGGTTGTACCTCGCGCTGTATAAGAAGCGCGGAGGTGGCGCGAGGAGAGTCGGCGAAAAAAAAAAACCTCGCGTAAAAAGGCGAGGTTAGCGCGTCTACCTCCGTACGGCGTCACGACCGACGAACAGCTTGATCGAGCGGCGCGTCGCCTGCGCGTGCCGTTCTTCCGCGGGGTGTTCATGCGCCACGCTCTACCGACGAGGGTGCGACGCGCCGAGTGCGGCATCGTGAATCTCGACGACGCGGTGGGCCCGGGCACGCATTGGGTCGCTTACGCGAAAAAAGGGAACTCGGCGATCTACTTCGACGCGTTTGGAAATCTCCGCCCGCCGAGGGATCTCGCGCGGTATCTCGGCGACAGTGGCGGCGAGAGCACGATCGTGACGTACAATCGTCGCGCGTTCCAGACATTCGATCAGAGAATCTGCGGACAGCTGTGCCTGCGATTTTTTCGCGAGATAGATTGGGGGGGAGCGGGCGGACGATCGACGTTCTCCCGCGATGTCGCTGACGCTCACGTTGACCGGGACCGGCAGCGTTCTCACGGCGAGTCACTTTCCCGCTTTGGATCTGAGCGACGGCGAATACGAGCTTGGTTTGACGACTTTTGAAACGTACAATTCGATACCGAACGTTACGTCCGCGAACAATCGTTTCTACTACGGCAAGGACGACCGGCGAATCGTCGTTCCGGAAGGTTCGTACGAGCTGCGAGCCGTGAGCAAATATCTGCGCGCCACTTTTCTCCATCGCGAACGTCGCGCCCGCGAGAGAGACAAAAGTAAGGAGAAAGGAGGAAAATCGCGGACCGACGACGCTGGACGGGTAAAAGAAAAAAACCGAACGGAGAAGGACGAAACCAACGACGAGATTTATCGCGCATACGTGGACGAAGACGATGACGACGATGACAAAGATGGCGACGGTTATGACATATACGGGGACGACGACGGTGGCGACAGAGTGCTCGATCTTCGCGCCAACAAGAATACCATGAGAAGCGAGATAAAGTGCGCCTACCGAGTGAATTTTGCAAAACCGAACAATATCGGTTCTCTTTTGGGTTTCTCGAGCGATCGTATTCTAAAACCGAACAAATGCTATGTTTCCGACGGACCCGTCAACGTCATGAGCGTGAACATAATTCGCATCGAGTGTAGTATCACCGCGGGAGCGTACAGCAACGGACGCTCGGTGAACGCGATACACGAATTCGCGCCGAAAGTTCCACCGGGATATAAACTGTCGGAGACTCCGACGCAGATCATTTACCTCCCGATCGTCGCGCGAAACGTCACCGATATCACGGTGCGAATCGTGGATCAGAAAGATCGGCTGATCGACTTTCGCGGTGAGGAGATAACGATCAGATTGCACGTACGTCGTCGTCACGGTTAGTGTGTGTGTGTGCGCGTATCCCTGAAGAAAGAGAGAGCGAGAGGAGGGATGCTCGTTCTGAACGGATCTAGCGCGAATTGTACGAACGAGCGAGCTAGCCCGTTCTACAACGAGATCGGAAGCGTAGGAAAGAGAAGAGGCGGAGGAGGGGGACCCGTTCTCAGCAACGCCAACGTCAGATTCCTACGATCGTTGGGTCTCGCCGTGAGAAACGCGTCACCGTCGAACCATTTCTACCTCGAGAGGAAAAATCATGGCCGACATCCTGAGTATCGGCGGTGAGTCGATCTTCGACGAGCGCATCGTCGGAATAGAGACTCACACGTATAACCCGTACGTCAACACGACGTTCGGACACAACGACGAGATACGAATACCCATACAGCAGCAGGATCTGTATACACTGCCGTGCGAAAGTTTCCTGTACGTCGAGGGACGACTCAACGACGACGGCGCGACGAATGGGGAAGAATACGCGAAATTAGTCAACAACTGCGTCGCGTTTATGTTCGACGAAATTCGTTACGAGCTCGACGGCGTGGAGATCGACCGGTGTAGAAACGTCGGCATAACCAGCACGATAAAGAACTACGTGTCGCTGACCGTCGAACGAGCCAGAAAACTGCAGAACGCTGGATGGAGTTATCCGACGAGCGAATCAAATCTGAACAACGCGTCCCATCAATTCAATTTTTGCGTACCTTTGAATATTCTTTTGGGTTTCTGCGAGGACTACAAACGCGTGGTGATAAACGCGCGACACGAGCTTATCCTGATA